CACCTCCCCTGTCCGATCCTCCAGCACTGACTGGAGGAACGGATGGGGGAGGGGGCGGGTACAGCTGGCTCTGCCTCTAGATAGGCAGAGCCAGCTGTCACTCATGCAGCTGGATGGATCCAGACAGTAATGTCGGGATCCGTCCCGACTGCGGCGTCTCAGTATACCGCGAGCTGTAGCTAGGACAGCCAGTGTTAAAATCTAGTTTAAAACTAATGATGAGACCTGTCAGCACAGTACAGACAAAAAAAAAACATAATCGCACTGTACGTTTGCAGAAACACATCCAGATCTGGTCGGGACCTGGTGTGAACAAGCCCTTAGGATCCCTTTTCTTCCTAGGATCACAAACATCCAGCTTATACTGTATATGGGCTTCAGCCAAAGTGTAAGGCATTTTGTACATCTTGGATAGAGAGCTGCATTTGCACCCGTGTTGTGCTGTTATGTCCATTTCTAGGGCTCCCACCGTGATATGGGCTTTTGACAGTATGGAGTAAAACCTTTTGTTGTTTGGATTTGGCCACCACAGCGGATCACCACATTTATGGCAATTTTGGCCATCTGCAGCTGAGATGCAGAATTGTTGGGTGGCTCGACAGTGGCGTCTCAAGGTCGGGTGTCACCCGGAGCAGATACCCGCCGTGACATCATCACGCATGCGCGGTCATCTTTTTGATACCTGCCAGTGGCCATCTTGGTGATGCACGCCGGCAGAGAGAGGAGGGGGCGTTCACCCTGCGGGATAAGGATTGCCACCGGGTCCCCTCCTCTCTCTCCTGCAACTATCGTGCTCATCACCGAGTGCCCGATTTTTCAGAGGGAGTGACACCAAAATGAATGTCAGTCATTTTGGTGTCACCCCTCTGATGGTGTCACCCGGGTGTGGGCCGCACCCCCATGGTCAGGTCCACTGTGGCTCGATACATCTAAGGACAATGTTAGGTGTGAACACTTTGAGTACATTAGCTACCAGGTTCATCACTGACAAGTCAATGAATAAAGTTGGCAGCCCATGTACATGGCTTGCATAAGCGCTACAATCGCCGTTCAGTTACAATAATATCATACATCTGGAATTTCAGTTTTGCTTTCTACTACAGGATTGAAGACTCAGCATATTGCTTATGGGAGCTGCCGCTTAGCTGGAGACACTGAAGCTTCCTGCCAGCTTAAAATGTCCATCTATTTCTAGAATGTTATTATAATTGGATTAGTGGAAAACAGTTTACCAAACACACAGGAAATGTAATTACACTGGTAATATATTTGCAAGTAGAAGGACTTTAGCAGAGCAAATGGATGTATAGCTGTGTACCTGCAATAGAGGTTCAAACACTATAATGGCTCCTAATGGGTATAATGTGTGAAATAATTGTGTGGATGGTACTGGTGTATTTTATTTAGGGTAGAAAATTGTTTCTTTCATTCACACATTCCAGGTCACACATTAATAAAGATGAAGGCTGCCATTTTATGTTCTCAGCAAAATTCTTCACACTGCTCTTATGAAATCTTACAGCCTACAATAAGAAATGTGAGATCTGACATTAAAAGGTCTATTTAGCTAGCAAGCAACTGGAAAAAAACAAAGCCTGCCATATCACGAGTTTACCTTGAGATTAGACAGTATTATGATCAACGAAAGATTATCCAGTATTCTGAAAGATACTCATGCCAAGTTTTTAAAAGGTATGGGAACCTTGGGTATTATACCAACACCCTGAACTAGGTGGAGAAACTATTAGGCTGGGTTCACACCTAGGCGTATCGAATATGCGCGTTTGTCGCGCGTTTCGTGACGCGCGTTTTTACCGCGATTTTTCGGTAAAAAAAACGCGCGCCAAACACGTGTTTCCGAGGGCTACTTGGCTGTATCCCAATGGAAACGCACAACAAAAACGGCCCAAAGAAGCTCCTGTACTTCTTTGGGCGTAGGGCGTTTTGTAGCGCGTTCATACGGCCTGTAATACGCCCGGGTGTGAACCATATCCATAGGAAATAATGGGATTTCGGTGTTTGAGCGCTTTGCAGAGCGTTCGAACACGCTACAAAACGTCCAGCTGTGAACCAGGCCTAAGATATCTATAAGAGACTGCCCGTGCAGCATAGGGGGTGCCCCCCCTAGTCGGCAGCAGACAGCGGACCTACTGAACTGATCTCAAATACAACCAGTAATCTTTCCCCCCCCCACCCTCTAAAACTTTCCTTTGATCACTTTCTGTCTACTGAGACAGTCATATAGTAACTGTAACCAATTTGAACTTTTATTTTCATTTTGATCTGTGAATGCTAACTATACTGAATTCTGTATGCAATGTCTCTTTTATTTATGGAAATCCAATAAAATACTTTGTTACAAAAAAAGGTCTATTTAGAAATCTTCCACCCAGTTGTGTGCACTGACAGGAAATTCACAGGAAATTTCCGACACTAGACGGAGCTGAGGAGCATAAGAATTTTCTATGGTCCACAGCTCCATCTAGTGGCAGGAATGTCATGCAAATGGATTTCGCCCAGCAATTGGCTGGGCAGAAGATATATGAAATGGCTCCTTACTGTTTGCTACTACCTCCTGGTGCTAAAATGCAGACCACCTTCATTCAAAAGAAGGAAAAATGAAATTACACTTTTAAAAATGAAGTTTAATCTGTTTATATTTACCATCCTTGGTTGCTTCTCTACCTCATCATCAGCATGCTAATAAATTGTTAAAATAGCCTGTTTTCAATATATACCATATTTTAGACCCAGTGAAGTCATCACTGGGATTCTGTCGTTCTATAAGCAATTCAGGCAAATCATGGCTGCTAGGTGCAGTAGACAGCTTTTTGAAAACGTCACAGCACTCCTCTCAAGAGCCTTGGGACCTGATGCAGGGAGTGGACTGCCTCTTGGAAAGAATTATGCGAATATCAAAATACCTTGATGGGTGAACGTCAGTCTGGGGGAGTGGATATTCTTATGCAGGCTACATTTGCATACAGACTGCTCTAGGTAACAGTAGGGTTAGGACTGCTGAGGAGCAGAGCAGTGGTGGTACGTGGGGACAGGAAGTATAAGTGGGTTGGGAGGATTGACTTTAAAGAACCTGTATCACTTTACTCTAAATAGGCTATCTTAGATGGAGATGACACAATAGTGATAAGCGAACTGAGCACAGTTCGGTTTACTGTAAATTCACTGAACACTTGAAAAAATATGCAAACCCCATGGGAACCAAATCACCTTTTATAAAGCAAATTTGCAAGCTTTTGTTAAAAAAGGCAAGGGTAGCTGGGCAGTGTCATGAGGGACCAATTAAAAAAAAAGAATTAAATGATTCTGTTTAGTGGGCACCGGGCCCTTTCATATAACTTAAAGGGCAGACACAATGTTCCAGTCTGATCACTCCGAAGTATAAAAAAAGCTTCTAACTGCCAGCAGCAGACTGATGACACCATCTTAGCCTAGGCAAAGTCACTTGAAAGGAGCTCATGGACTGCTTTTTGATGACAAAAGATGGAGCTTTTTAAAAACTAGTATTGTTGCTATAGATTGTGACGTGTGGGAAATGTATGAATGCAAGCTTGTAAAGTTACTGAAATATCCATATTAAAGCGGAAGTAAACCACTGTATAAATGCTCAGTTTTTGCTGTGTATACTTGCACATTAGGGCACACTTACCTTACAAGTGTGCCTTTTTCCAATGCTGCCATTGAAGTCCGATCTTCAGTCTCCCTCCCAGTGAATTTCTATTTTACGGACTTTACTTCTGCTTCAAGGGTTAAGACAACAACAGATAAGGTTAAGAGGAGGATTAGGTTAAGTGTTAGAGTCAGATCAGGTGTTATTGGTTACATTTATTAGAGGGAGGTTAAAATATAACCGTACATGTAAGTTACACGGCAAAATAGCTTGCAAACCCTAATCTTGCTACATTTACCACTGCACTGCATCTTCTTCCAATGGTGTAAGGCGAGCACCCTATTGCTAGGGTCCTCAGATTCCTGTAAGGGGAACTTGACTAGAGGCTGGCATTAAGCACCATTAAAATTTATGTATAGCCAATGTGTGTGTGTGTGTGTGTGTGCGTTTTGGATAGATTAGGGAAAAGTTAACACATCTGCCAGGTTATTTATTTTTTGCTGTGCGCACCATAGTGAAATCTCCCTTTACTTTCTGTCTCAGAGACACAGCAGAGAGTTAGAGGAAATCTTACTAAGGGGAATTTCCCTCTTAGTTTTCCCAAGAACAAATGTCCTCATTGGAAGATTCACGCTTACCTCCTATTCTGGGGTTTAATCTAAAATTTGCGATTTCCTCCCTCTTTCTCAGGGACAATGGTTACCAGTAGAACCAGAGGAGTGAATCTCCCCAATGGGGACACAGACACCAATAAAAAGATTTAAGGGACTGATTTCTGTTCTGTAGATTCTGCTGCAACTGCTGTTGGTATTTAATTCCTTGATGCATATCTCTAGGTCACTCATATTTTTCCACCCATTAAGCCTTTAATGGTTCAATTAAACTTTTATCTGCTTCTATAGCCTTTTTTAGGAACCCTCTTTGAGTGTGCTTGTGGGGTACCTTCCAAGATCCTATCCCAGAAGGTGGCATTTCAGGATGCCATCACCTCAGTCAGGAAAGTATTCAGATTGGCAAGTTGGCTTTCCTATTGAAGCCTATGGGGGAAAGGGGGAATCCAGTAAGTAAATTCTGGACCTCTGTGGTGCCCATTATACCCCCTCAGTTATTGCATTTCCTTTTTTTGTTTGTACTATCAAAATGAAATCAGCACAGACATATTAGATACCGAAAGCCCATTGTTTAGGAGTAAAGTAAGAAAGATGAAGTAAAAACTAAAGCAGATAGGAATAAAATGAGTCAAATTTTTAATAAACAAACAATTAGGTTATTTTCTACAAAAAAAAGGCAAAAACATGATCTTCTGCGGGTGCACCATGGAGGAAAAACAGTATAGGTGCTTAAGTGAAACATGCTAAGAATGGTCAGTCTTTATGAGCCAATAGAGGAGGTGAAATAAAACCTGCACAATGTACCAGAGTTATTAAAGTCACACCAATTATCACATTTACTAAGCAGAGCCAAATTCGCTCATCCATTTCTCATATTTCTCTAGATCTGCAGCAGAAACAGATTTTGAAACTTTCTTTAATGCCAAATTAAAGTCTGTCATTGTAACAGGCATCTGTAGCTCATCCTTTGGCAGTGCACGGATCTGTTCTGGAGTCAAACCCTGGATTCTTCGACGCATGGCCATCATGGAGGCATCCCTGGAAAACAAGTAAACATAAAAAATGTAAGTTCCTATAAAAAGTGTAAACACAGAGATATAGCTGTGCTTATAAAGTATTGTAGAGCTAGTTGCAAAATCAGTTAGAGCGGGATCATTTCTAAATACCTACCGCAGATGGTATCCTTTATGGAATGACCCGCAATCAATTTATGCTAAAATGAAGACCATGTTTTTAGGTTGTAAAACTGCAGGAAAGCCAAATTCCAAAGCACACAGTCATGTGACAGTAGGATGCAGATTTAACCTGAGACATTGATATCTCTACATGTAATCTGTTGCTATTTTCTCCTCTGAACTAAAGATGGGGCTAATACTAATATGAAAACTGTTTAATCTGCACAATAAGTGGAAGGTCTTGTTACAGCCACACCACTGCTTTTTAAATGTCAGCAGCAAGAGGAGTGGTTAGAGAATGAGATAAGGCTTTCCTGACTTTTGACAAAAATCAGTGACAGCACAGTTTAGTCTGCTTAGGCCATGTATTTTGAGAAGAAAAGAACGGTGTTTGAAATATATGATGGAGCCAATTATAAAATCAACGCAATATTTACATTCTTGGGGAAAGGAAGGGTTCATTTTAAAGCCAACCTTTACCTAATGACAATTAAAAAAAAAAAACTACAACTAGAGTTACATAGTTAGAAAGGTTAAAAAGACATAAAGTCCATCAAGTTTAACCAATACAGAAAAAAAGAAAAAAAAAGAAAAAGAAAACCTCCATATACAGAAACCTATACCCACAGTTAATCCAGAGGAAGGAAAAAAAAACCTTATAAAAGTATGGTCCAATTTGCTGCAATAGGTGAAAAAATGTCTTCCTGATCCCATAAAGTGATAGGATATTCCCCAGATCAACAATCTCTGATGTTATTATAAATAGTAATGAAAATATTAAGTTATGTTTTGTGCATTTAGGAATGCATTCAGCTTTTCTTTAAAAAAAATCAACTGAGCTAGGTGGAAGTTTTTGAAGAAGGGTACACTGCTAGTGGTGCATGTGCAGTGTAGTGTAGGCCCTGGCTAATCCCTGGCATCTGTAAAATACCGGAAATGCAGCCGAGTGCTGGTAATAATGTAATTCCTGTGTATATGTACAGAAATTACATCAGAAGCGGTCACCCAATGAAAGGACATCAGCAATGTGGAATTCAGGACAGGCGGCAGAGAAGATGGCAGCGCCAGCAGATGGAACATTGAGGTATACCTTTAATCTGTCAATCTGCCATTAGTGGAGTTGAAAACAAACATGTTGTGCATACATTTCACGTTTTGAGCAGTTTAAATCCGATACATACATTCAAGGTGCATCAAAACAAAATGTGTTCAAAGCCTGAGTTTCATTTAGCAGATATTGCCTGAGCAGAAAAACCTGCCCCCTGTCGGCATGTTGCAGAGAAGGACCTTTCCTCTCTGTGTGGCAGAAGAGGTCTCTTTGCAGAGGTCTGGCACACCCCCTGTGAGTCATAGTTAGATCTCTGGAATCAGCAGGCAGCATGAGCTATGTGCATTACAAAGCTATAGGTCTGACTCAACAGAAGGGGGTATTGGACTTCTCCAGAGGCCACTGCTTCCACAGAGAGCAAGGGTCCTGCTCTATATCATGCTGGCGAGCTTCAGGCTTTGCTTTTCAGGTTGTGGCTGCTTTCTAAATGAAAACTGTAAGACTTTGGAGAATACATTCCCAGGGCATCATAACAAAAAGGTGTACAATCTAAACAGTTCAAGATGGTTAAAAAGTTAACATGGGCTTTAAAAAATGATACCAAAATAAAGCATGGAAAAAAAAGTGACCTCTATAACCTCGCTGTACTTTGCAGGGGCACATTCTTGCAAGATATGGGATCCTCAGGTTTCCCAGGAAGTTGAGGTAAGGCTGAGTACCTTCACCTAAGGAAATGGGTCCAAAGCCTGGGTAACATCTACTTTTTTGGCTAATGGGCGTTTTATTTTTTTAGTAATTTTGGGGTTGGGTCCAACAGATAGGTGATAGTAAATTTGGACTGCAAGGTTCCACTGAACAAATGTACAGTTATGCGACAAGTATCCTGTTTGTCTTGTCACCCTTCCCCTGTTAAACTAAACTAGCTCCCCCTCCACAGACAGATACTCTTCTCAAAATTTCAGCCACGGCCTCAGGTGTTTGTTTACATTCTATGCACAAAGCCGCGTGAGGCATAGCAGCTCCCTATTAGACTTCTATTAAAGTCCATGAGAATCGACACTGGTCAGTGAAGGAGATACAAAAAGGTGAGGGGCTCTTTAGTCCTGTGGGTGTGGGGTGGCAGGGCAAAAAAAATGATAAGTGTACTCATACTGAAAAGGGCACTTAATATACTTTAATGCCTCTGTAAGAAACAACTTTTCACTGAGAGCAGATTTGCTAAAGATAATTAAAGAAAACTGAAAAATACCGGCTGAGATATTAAAATTTGTAATAACACTTCTAAGGAACTGAAAGCAGATGATTAATTGTACAGGCAGATGTGCTTAAGACAGCTAATGGACTACTAAATTATTTACAAAAGATTACGGTTTCATCCAGTGAGATTTCATCTTTAGCATAAAACAGACTAAATGAATTGTGCATGGCAATGAAGGAAATTGCAGATTAACATTGCGCATATTAAATAACCTCTTGGCCATCCATTTTTTTTTTTTTTTTAAAGAGTGGTCAAATTAAATGAAATAATTTTAGGATTTGTTTTATAATGTGGTCTTGTTGGAATACTACAGCACTGAGGTGCACTCACATTAAAGAGCAATTCCAGATAAAAAGTGAAACACATTTGCGAGCTACTAATGGTATTCCGCATATTCTGCAGCTGTTCTAAATCAGAAAGGTTTTTGTCTTAATATGAATTACCAGTCATTTCCTGCAGACAACCTTCATAGGTTTACTGGGAGCATTCTTCCTAAAAGTACAAGGTCTTAAAAAAAACCCTAAAAAGTAAAAATAAAGTTCATATTATACCTGCAAACATTAGTTATATCAGCGCCAGAATAGCCCTCGATTTTCTCAGCAATGATATCCAAATCTACTCCAGACTCCAACTCAACTTCTCGCAAGTTTATCTTCAGCAGTTCAGCTCTTCCAGAAGCTGTAAGGAAAAAGGAATTCTGTTTTGGTAAAGACTCTATTTTAATGTTTCTACAATAAAACCAGAACTTGATTATATTAATTCTCTTCATTCTGTGTTCTTGATGAGATAAAAAGCATGGACACAAACGCTCTGTAATATGAACCAAACAAAATATATGATAAAATGAACATTATCTAAATGACTACAATATCTAATGAAAGAAACAAAGCATTAAGCACAGTTAAGGACCAATATATATATTAGATAATGGTCATATTGGACACCTGTTATTCAGCAATAGTGAATGACAATCAGGTTGTCTATGGGACACAACATACACTTTTGGGTCAATAGTGTAAGTGAGGGACAAAAGTTAAGCTCTTCTCTTGATGTACAGATAAAAGCAAGCTACTGTACGTTATACCCTAAGGAAGGCTGGTGTCAAACAAATTGTAATTATCTCATGCATTTATGTAAACACTTCTTATTAATGAAGCTTTACCATAGCAGGGATTATAAAATGTGAGTGGATTTTGGTCTTTGGTACAAACCAGACTCAGAATGTGTATTGTTTTGAACTGTTCTTCTGAACTATTTACAATGTCCATTAAAGCCTGTCAAGCTCTGGACTAGTGCTCTGGCCTAATGCTCATAACAACAGCCAGTTAGGCCTTAAGAGGTTTCCCAGATCATCTTAGGTGAAGAAAGATTTATGAATCTCCTGGAAACTGCATTTATTGAGCTTGATCTGACAGAGCTAGTGGTATTTTGTTGTGTGGGGATCGTTCAATCTTGTCTGCGCTTTTTAAGATCAGTTGTCTCTTGCTGGGCAAAAACTACAGATTTATAGATAAACGATTTGGTGCAGACAAGTTTTGGAAAAAGAATGGTGCCAATGAGTTCCATACAAATCCCCATTCGCCCCACTTATTTTAGGGTGCATAAGACCCCCCATGTCGTCATTTTACTATTTTACATAATTATAATATAGCAAAGTAGTCTACCAGCTGGAATGCTCCTGTAGAAAGTTATAGATAGGGAAAACAAAACATCAAATATGGGTGAGAATAGGTGAACATCTAAGAGATATAAAGAAAAAAAGAAAAAGATAGTCCAATATTTCATAATTGTATTCTGGAAGGACTGAAAATAAAAGGTATTTTTATCGTCACGGAGAGAACATTTTGATAGGATCTTGATGCAAACAGAGAAGCAGTGGATGTATAGACTAAATACATTATCACCCAAAGGATTAAATACTGAATTCAATCTACAAGTGTTTTTGTAAAGAAAATGAAGAGGAATAATATTCTATCTAATTAAGGGCTGGGTGCTTAGTGTGAATGCTCTATGGTTTTTTGTATATTTAATACATTGTATATTATATTTTAGTTCAGTGGTGTTAATATCAGAGTCCCCTTGCTCGCATGCTTATACTAGTAAGATACTAGAAGGGTTTAACAAAGTAGGTGGAAAAACGGCTTTAAATAGACGCACCTAATGGGAGGGGCGAAACGCGTCAACTGATCCTTGCCTGACGGGCTGACTATCGCGATCTTGAGAGATTGAAGGAATGCTTGAGCAGGCTATAAAGTGGATGATAGCGCAATCTCAATGACATTATGGCTGCAATATGACGGAGGAGCCAGCAAGTACAAAACTAATGTTCTACTTAAAGTTACTTCATTGACTTCAAGTGCTACACTATGTAAGAGCAAACAAGAATTTTGTTGTTTTCAACCGACATCAAGATCGGGACGATTAATATCAGCATTTGAGGAGAAAGACAAACTAACACTCCTGGTTAAAGGTGAGGAATTCACCTGTTATAAAGTGACTGTCTATGGACTATGTAGCAAAACAGGGGGTAACAACAGGCAATGAGGATTATATATCTGGACTGAGATCCGATACCGGTGTATACTTAATAATCAAATCAGACCTGTCTGTGTGTTTGCCCCTAACAGCAGAATTAGTGTGACACACAAGACATTGATCTAACAGGAAGAAATTACCAGCTATGATATGTATCGGATTGTTTTTGTCCTGATAATTAATACACTGAAGTGAAAAGGATATAGTCTCCAATAAACACTATGTGTGCAGTATATAAAAAGAAGGGAAGCTTTGCTCCCATTATTATGATGTTCAATACGAAAAGATACTCTGTAAAACACCAATCCTGAACTTACCAGTATATTCAATTGTGTTGTTTCTGGGGAGGAAGAAATGTGGACAATCTGGCAACATTGTCATTTATTATAACGCTCAAACGAGTCTGTAAGAGCAACACAAAGATGGAGATCAATCCTCCCGATATTACAACGAAGCAGCGCAGCCGGTCAGAACATTAGACATAGCAGCCAGCTGCAATATAGGAATTTCTCACAGGTGGATGATTGAGGGGCCCGCCAGCATGTATGAATGTATTTGGGTGGACGTGACAACGTTATCAATCCTTTTTATGGTGTTTCAGGCAGTGGTGCAATAATTTGCAGTTGTGAATACAATAAAATTGTTTCTAATTAATTACACGCGCCTCTAGTCATAAGTAGCTTCTCCAGCTTGTGCACTACTTATGCACAGGTATTCTTCTTTGGTTCATATGCTATACAGGTAAAGACTGGGGCTTGCTTACTGTCAGGTGGTGTTGGAGACCATGATTTAATAATGTATAATCCATTAGTTCCTCTAGGGAATCAAACATTTTTTTGGGATTGTAAAGCAGACTGTAAACAGATGCCCCCCTCCCTGTGATTCTATGTAAAACAATCACTAAACAGCAGCTCTGCCTTTACACACAATACACTGTCTTGGGAGGGGTTGTGGGAGCTCACAGAGAACTCCGTTGTAATTTACATATCACAGAGGCAGCTGTTTCCATAAGGATATGAAAGCTAACAAAAAAACAAAAGCTTATGTGTTCATATACAGCAACTGCATATGCCTGCTTCATGTTTACTTGGTGTATATTGCTGGTATATGGGTTTTAAAAAAAAATGCCTCTGCAAAAGGTGGCAACGGGCTTTAAGTGTCCTCAGTAGGCAGTGTCATTCAATTCACCTCATTTAAACCCAGGTCATCCATGACTCGCCAGTGACTGGACAGTGAAAGAAGAAGCATCAAATTGATAAACTAATCTCTCTGTCACTCTGCTTTCTTTCCTTATCAGGATGCGTATTGTCAGCACACAAACTAATTGGCTCCATGTACTGCTTCTTCCTTTCACACTTCAGCCCTGCTGTACAAGGATTGCAAGAGGCTGATTCCAGGTCAAAGTCTGGTACTTACACTGCTTGCATTAAAAAAATTATGATGTATTATTGATTACAGAGTTGCAATAATTGTGTATTTTTTTTATATCTGACTATTAGCTTTATCCACCATGAAATGTTCATATGTATATCTTTATCATAGGGTCTCTTTATATGATTATTATATTATTATACTGGATTTATATAGTGCCAACAGTGTGCGCAGCACTTTACAATATAGGGAATGAGTCTTTCTTTTCCTAATGTCTGCCAACAGGTCTAAATACATCTAAATGTTGCCCTCTATATAAAATACAGCTAATTAAAAGTATTGGGGTTTCTTTCCAGGAAAGTTAAAAAAAAAGGATTAAAAGCATCTAAATTGGCCACGCAACCACTTTGTATGCTGCGTGAGCACTGCATGCAATTGTCCCAGGTATAAAATGTCCACACATATTCTATAATTCATTCCTGTCTACCATTAGATGTCCTTGAGCAAGAAGAATATTATGGGAAAAGGGATTTATAACATCCCCTGAAATGACTTGTGTCTAGATCTTTTAATTCATCTAAAAGGTTACACGTTGTAGAAATGGACCATTGTATCCAGGGTCTGCCTGAATCCTGCCATGAGGTGACATCACCGTTCAACTGCTGGAAACTAAATACATTGGAGATCATTTATAAAAAATGATGAAAGAAAAGTGTCTGTGTTACCCAATGCAAGGGATTAGATTCCAGCTGTCATTTTTCTACAGTGGGTTAAAACAAGAGCACATTTAGCATAAGAACTTGGGCTTGTGCCTAGTGCAGCACCAGAAGCCAAGACTACTTTTTATTTTTCTCTAAAAATGATGCAATTTAAGTAAAAGGGGAGGGATTCCTGTGCATCACTCATATATGTCTAGAGTTGGCTATAAACGGTTCTAATTTTTTAGTTCAACCCGTGGGCTGAACGAAGAAAATAGAATAGATTCCTCCATCAACCCTTACAACGGTTGATGGATGAATATCCTGCCGTTTTCCTTGTATCCTGACAGCGGCCACATCTGATTGGCTGCTAGCTCTGTTTGGCTGAGGATTTTCCAATCGCTTCTCGGCCTTTTGGCTAAGATCAAGTGTAGTATCTGTTCTTATCAGTTTTCGGTGGGGAAAAGAACCGTCCCTGCGGGGGATGGTTACTTAGTACTCGCTGGAGTGAAAGAGCGTGTGGGGCGGCTTCCTGTGAGAGGGGAACCGCTCAGTACATGGCTTTCTGACTGAACAGATGCGAAGCTTGGTCTGGCTCGAGGGTTGGGGGGCAGCAGAAGCCCATGGTGTTGTGCCCCCTGGGGGTGGCGTCCCAGGGGTGCGCAGAAAGTCACTTGGGTGTGGGACCCCACATTGACTCACTGTGCACTTGGTCACACACCACCTTGCATTTTTCTGCACATCGCCTCTTGGACAGGCCTTATGGCTAGTCCGGGGCAATATTTTTGCACTCCGGCCCCTAAGGCCTGTCAGCGTGGTGCACTGGCACTTTAGTATTATTTATTGCACTCTATGCACGATGCACGATTGACTTTTTGATTGAAATTTTACCCACAGATTGCTGAAGGTGCAGGTTCCTTCGGGGCCTATTCCTGACGCTGGGAGGAGATTCTGTGCCCTCTACGGGGTTCTCTGTCTCCTCCCACCCAGGAGGTGGGTCTCTCTTCGGGAGAGCCCACTTGCCAAGTACTATGGGGGACCTGTTTCGGCAGGTCCCCAAAGGAAATGGTCCAT